TGTGCAGCTTGTGGCACCGCATAGTGCACATACGTGCTTGTCTGGACACATGCCCTGAGTGTCATTTGAACTCCCTCCCCTACTCAATCTGCTGCTCTTTTTTCTGCTCCTTGCCCTGTCTACCATTATGATGCCTGCCCCTCTTCCTCTCCCCCTGCCATCCTCTGACCTGCTGTATACCACTTGTGGCATGTGTGCTGCAGGTTGGCCAGGCCAAAGTACATAAGCCATTTAAGTTCACGGTGTCTTTCAGCTGCATTCTCTAGCTTGTAACTTAATTTTATTTTCCTTAACTGAATAATTGATTAAACTGACTAGGAGTCTAGGTTTCTGGACGTCCAAAGCAGCCTTGAACTGATTAGGGCCTGTCAACTTGAGGCTGCTCTTACAGGCACAAGGTACTCTTCAAAAGAAGGTAAGGAGACTTAATGACCTGCCAAAGGCATAGTGAAGGCCATTCCTTTAGCTAATGAGCCTTGTTTACACTGAGTTTGAGCAAGTGCATGCTTGGGTAAGTGTACAACCTTTTTCAGTCCCAAGACTATGTGAATACAGTATATTATACACAACTGTCAACATTAATTGCTAAGTGCTTTTTCTTTATGCCAGCTCACACATGACCTTTATAAATTTTGTGGCTTAGTCAAGAGATCAAGATTCTGCCAAGTTTTTAAAACATACTTCCTTCTGCAATAATAAATTAATTAATTTTACAAAGTTGTTGCAAAAATGAAAAATGCAAGAAATATAATAATGTATTATTTCCAACCCATCTTTGCCTTTAGGAAACTGAATTTTAGACTATATTTACAATTATTTTCTTGAAGATTAAGGGGCTCATATGCTTATGTTTTTGTTGGGTTTTTTTAAGTCAATGAGATGTTTAAACTTATTCCAGGAAATGCTTACTTTCTCCTTATTAGTAATGTACGTCTTTACCCAGCTTTCTTAATGTAAAGCTAGATAGAACTCAGAATATTAGTGCCTGTTGTTTACATATTTATTTAAATGTTTTTAATAGATGTCTTTAATTGTGCTTGTGAGTGAAGTTACTGTCAACTCTAATAAGCAGTAAAAAGAAGTGAATCTGCTCCAGAAAAAAGACTTCATCCATATCCTTTGTTATGGGATAAAAAGATATTCCTGTTTAGGATTTGAAAGAGAAGTTACTATAAAAAGACACCAAAAATGAGATAGGGGCCTTCTGTCACCACTCCATTCTTCCTCTTCTCTTCATAAACCCTACTTTTAAATATACACAAAAGTTTCTAGGAACATTTTTGTTGACGCTTATTAATAAGCACTCTAAAGTCTTCATTCATTTAATTTCAAGGAGAGCATGTACAAATGGGAACACATACAGCTGTTTTTATTACGTCTAACTTCATGTTTCCACTTAAACGTGAAACTCTTTATTTTTAAATGTTTAAGATGATACAAGATTTTGGGGATGATATTTCGCAAATGTCTTGTAATATCAATGAAAATATTTAGAGCCAAATCCTTTTTCACCTTTAAGCATCTAACTGGCTCTTACATAGTTAGAGAAGTACAATTTTTGGCACTTCAGTAGAGTTTGGATTCTGATTCTACCTATAGCCAGAATAGGATCACACAGCTGGATATATATCCTATGACACCAGCTGACTTCCTGCCCTTCGGGTGGGGGGCTGGACTTGATGATCTTCCGAGGTCCCTTCCAGCCCTAATGTCTATGTCTATGTCTATAAAGTAGATAAGAAGCCTTTTAGATTTTAGTCCATTACCTAGTGCACTTGAAGAGGGAGACTCAGGGTCTAGGACTGCCCTCACATAGGGTGCATCTACACATCACCCTGTGGTGATCTAGCGATGTGCTAGGTCACTATACAGCACAGTACAGCAACATAGTGATCATGTGGGTGTACAGATGATCACCAGCTACATCGCCCCAGCAGTGTGCTCCCCCAGTATAGCATGTCGCTACAGCCATGGGGTGGGCATTACCTATTGTACTCTCTCTATGCCTCTAGTTGAAGCTGGCCCACTGGGCAACCAAGAAGAAAACATATGTGGGGATAAGAGAAGGAAGCAAGTTAGCGGAAGGGTACCTCAGTGACAGGGGTTTGCCTTGGAACAGAGGGAAACCTCTCCTCAGGCCTTGGCCACTGGCTTTAAAGATCTTTCTGCACTTAAGCATTTAATATTCATTTAATAAAATAAACACTGAATCATTTCTGTCCATTTCTTCATATACTGAAGAATCTTCTAAGACAATGCCAGAAAGGCACTGAGCCAATGGAAGGATGGCCAAGAATAATGGCTGGATCTAGCCAAGGCATCTCTGAATAAGCTGTCTACTATTTTTATCAAGACTGTAAAAGGGGAAGGGTGTAAATTTCTTTGACTGACGTTCAGACTTGGAACTCTTCTCCTCTTATGCATGCTTGATAGAGAAGGGATGAAGAAGCTGACAGCAGCAAAAGACTAAAGAAGCCACAATACAGCATCAAGAAGCTGCAACAAGACAACATGATCATCAAGACTTCAGTATTGTTGTCAAGAGAACATTTTTGAATAGATTCAATTTAAATTCTTTTATAATCATTTAAATAGGAAGTTGGAATAATATACTTTAAGGTATATTTTACTTCCTCTGTTAAACACCATTAAAATGTTTAGATTGTTTACTTCTGGAGGAGTCAGAAGTTAATATTTGTGAACAAAGAAAAATAGTGAGATTTACTTTGAATTTAGGAGTTTTAATATTCATTAGTTCATCTGTCTCAAGATCACCATTTACAGAGATTTGGTGAATTTATGAGACATATTATTCTTCATTTGGGTAACTTTTAAAAGGTTTCTCTTACGTAACCCAATTAAATACCATTTTCAGATCTTAAGACATTGTATATATCTAGTGCTCATGGTACAGGCATCAGAGCACAAAAATACAGTGTAGCACATGTATTCCATTCCCTGGGGGCTGGGGTGGTACAGGTGCTAAGGTACACGGTTGACAACCCAGAGGTTGCAATTTTAAGGCCATAGCAGAAGTGCTTGTGGTATGGCTGTGTCAGATTTCAGTTAATCTGCAAAAATCTGCTAAATACTTTGTCACAAGGAGAAGGACGCAGGAAGGATTGCTTTTAGTAAGATAAAACTATTCAAGAATGTTATGTATATTGCTGACCCCTGGTGGCTGAGGGAGCTATGACAATGATATGTCAGTAATCTAGGAATTTGCTGATATTATGTTTAAAAAACAAAGCCTTCATGATGCTGACTACTCCTTGTATGTTAAGCCTGTATGACATATGCTTGATCCAATCAAATACTTATTACTTGGGATTTTCTGTTTTGTTTTTCTTTGTTTCTGATGGATTAAATGATGTGTTAGAGTTACAACCTAATTTTGCAGACTCTTACACAAGTGGGCTTTATATATATGCAGCTAAAAAATTAGTCATGATACACGTGCTAGCTAATTAGAGCGTTTGATAGTTTTTCAAGCCTTTCCTGTAGACATCTGTTCAAAGATTTGTCTCTTTAATATCACCTCATATCAGCAACTGAGGCTAAGGAGCAAATCCAGCCCAGTCATCTTCCCTGTAAAACTTTCTGGGGTGCATAGGGTAGTGAAATGTTGAACTTCAGTTCTGCTCTTGGTGGGTGTCCATTAGCCTCAGAGGGTCTTCCTGAATAAGCATTCCTTGCAGAATAAGGTCCTTATTCACTGAATCTATTTGGGGCTTATTGATTGGGATGGTCCCCTGGCCTCAATGAAGTCAATAGAATATTTGCCTTTGGCCTTTATGGTCCAGGATTTTGTGCACAGCTTTGTCAGAAGGAGGAGTTCCCCAGTAATGCTCCTGAGAGAGAAGGCCTGGAAGCACGTGTAGAGTAGAAAGAACAGGGGGATTAGACATGAGGACATCCTTACTGTCCCATTCTCGTTTTCTCTTCTCATTATTACTGTTGTAAGCAAACGGTATCTTCATCTAATTCTCTTTAAATGTTTGTAACTGGTTGAACAAGGCTCTGGGGGAAAGTGGGATATAAAAATCGATTTCCATAATCTTGAGTTTTCCATCTAGATGCTTTTTCACTATGCATCATGGATTTTTTCCAGTACTGTATTAGGAACTGGATGTCAGGGGCCAGTGCAGCAGACTGGGCAAATTGCCACCAGCTGGCCCCAGTTACCTGAGTTGGGTGGTTGCCAATGGTTTAGCTACCTCCACCTGACCCCACTTGCCTGGTGGGTGTGGCTGCCTGCTTTTAAGCAGCAGGCCTTTACCAACAAGGCTGGTATCTCTCCATTTAGCTCTGGACTTCTGACTGCCCATTCCTGATTTTCTGTGCCATGCTCTCTGTCTGCTTGCTCCTGGCTCCAGACTGACCCCTGTCTTCAAACACCTGGCTCCTGGCTTGTGGCTTAGCTAGCTAATCACCCCAGATCTATCCCATGCAGCTGTAGCTGCTGGCTCCACACACCCTAGCTAGTGACACTTTGGGATGTCTGCCCTGTTTTTCCACAAGCATAGAACAATTTGATGAACAATACTGGGTTTCTCATTGGAAAATCAAAACCCCAATAATTAAGAACTGAAGAACACAGTAGATCTGGCAAATATTTTCAGAGAAAACTCAATTCTTTGCCTTAAGTAGCAGATTTCAGTCTCCAGGCTTGTTAATTTAGAATGTTTCACTTCTAAGTTTTTCAATCCCCTCATTTTGAAATAGTTTAGCTTAGAAGAAGAGTGTAAAGAGAGCACTCCAATTTTAGAGTTTAAGCTTTTACAAGTAACACTACTTCTAGAGTAACTGACAGTAACATATTATACACATTAAATTAAATTCAGCTGGAGTGTAAAAAACAATAAGGGTGTTTAAATCAAGATACAATCCTTTTAGGGTTGTTTCTCCTATGTGCCTCAGGGACTACGGATTTAAAACCAGCTGACAGGAAGGAGAGATTTTAAGCCAATCAGAGAACAGTTCTGTATGACCAATGAAAAGCAGTCTTAGAAAAATGAGGCTTGATATGGTAGCTTTCTTTTCTGTCTGGTGCTGTCTGCAAATTCCAAGGAGCAAAGAGTCTGCGTGTGCAGTGCAGACCGTGCAATAAGTCAGAGAAGAGATTAGCGTCACTGAGAAGCTAACAGGCTACTGCTTTGCCTGCTGAAAGGCTCCTGCTCATGTCATGCACTCACTTACTCAGGAAATCAGAAGTTTTTCCAGGACAAATCTGAGGAAACAATGCACCAGGGTAACAACTTTGAGTGGAAAGAGAATTATAGAGACCTGGAAAGATGCCAGAATGCAGGTGGTGGAGGAAGCAGACCCAAGTGATGGGGATGGCTGTGGTTACGTGCAAGATTTCAGCTTGGACCTGCAAGTTGGTGTAATTAAGCCCTGGTTGCTGCTTGGTGAGTGTATATCTGAACCTAAATCCAAGTTCATGTTAAATGCCTGATCCTGAAGGTACCGAGCACCACAGGAGGTATGCTCAGCTGCCAGCAAATCTACAGGAGCTGAGGATTCAGTGCCTCTTCTGGGAGCTGCTCAGCATCATTCATGATCACTCTCTAGGGCACTGGTCATTACTGTTTATATTGAAGTAAAAATGATGCTTCTTGTATTCTCCCCCTTGTTTTCCTGTTGACTTGTTTTATCCACGTAAGCAAATGGAAAGTTGTATTTAGTAAGCTTGGCTAAAGAGTTGTTGTTATTATAATATGAAACAAATTAAAATGAGTCCCCTTGTCCCAAGGAAAAAGAAAGTACTAACTTCTCTTAAAACAAAGTAGGTGGCTTCTTTGTCTTGCCTTTTTGAATGATATGCAAATGATATGATAATAAGGCCTCTCTTCTTACAGGATCACAAGATGCTGCTCATGATCTGGAGACGATGAAGAGATATGGGGTAAAAAACAGCATAGTAATGGCAGTAAACTGTCTCATAGTGGAAAGTGCTAGTGGAAAATGCCTTTTAATCATGAGAATGTTGGTTTTAAAACTTTGCCCCTTCTTTTTTTTAAAATAAGATTTTATGTAACATTTAGTGAGGTAGTACCAGAAACTTCCATCTTATCTATACTTGGTGTTATTATGGGTAACTAAGGGGTTATTATGGGCATCTTTCATAAGAAGCTGGAGTGTCTGCATCACAAGATTAATTGTGCAAGCTGTTAAAGTTTGTTGTTTCATGATAGAAAAGATTTGCTTCACTTTAAGCTGTGTTCCATCAAATCTCAATTATTGAGCAGTGTCAGATCTGGAAACAGGGAACAGTCCAGTTAAAAAGGATGGGCTCACCTCCAGCTCCCATGGTGCTCCCTTTACATTTTTTTTGGTATTGTAGGGAGGGTGGAATGGTCTCCAGTGGCATTCCTTTGACATAGGACAGGGTATCCTGGCACATAGGAGTGGTGTATCTCCCTGCACTATAACATTCCCAGCCATTGGACAACACAAAGATGGCATAAAGCTATTGTTGTCCTATCTCTGCCTAGTGTGTGCCTGCTGTACTGTGTGCTCTAGTTTGCAATGTTGGTAACTCAGAAGGGCACTCTTATTTAGTACTCCAGTGCCCAGCATAGTAAGGGAGCTTGTCCTACCTTTTAGATAAGAAATCTTCAGTTTATGGCTGGTTTTAAGGTTTTTTGGAACCCCCAGTTTGCTTTTTTTCCTGGTCCTCTCAAAATCTCTTCTTTTCCTACACCATATCTTCCACTTGACTGCTTACAAAAAAAATTCTCTTGTCTGCATGGCAAGGTGAGGGCAGCAGATCCTCTGTCTCTATACCCCCTCATTTATTTGTAAAGAGAAGCATCATGTGATGTGTAATGTAAGGGTGAAGGCCATTGGCCAGGTCTTTTCCCAAGATGAACCAATGGCCTAACAGTGATAAGTAGGCAAAGGTTGGGTCAAGTGTCAGCCAGTCTGTTAGTGTGTCCAGAGAGTGAAAGACCCTGCCAATCTTTCATTACATTTGAAACATGAAGTCTTTCAACTCCGGGGGAAGGGTTCAAATTTAGCTGTGGGAGAGAGTATCTCTGGTATTTTTTTATTAGTTTTTGTGTATGTGCCTCCACATTATTAAACAAGATGTGCTTCCACATCAGAAATAGATACATTGCAGTGATGAGTGAAGTAGTTTGCAAAGAAATAAGCATGTCTTATTAAAGGTAATAATCTAAAAGAAAACTAAATCATGTAATCATATAAGCTGCAGTTGGTATTTACCAATGGGCAATGATTTGTTCTTTGTTTGTTTTCACTAACTATCTTTTTTGGCTTAGGTTACTCATGTCCTAAATGTGGCATATGGAGTAGAAAATGCCTTCCTCGATGACTTTGTATACAAGAGCATTTCCATACTGGATCTTCCTGAGACAGACATCACATCCTATTTTCCAGAGTGTTTTGAGTTTATTGAGCAAGCTAGGATTCAGGTATATCAATAATTCATGCTACTAGTTATTCTGGCAATATTTTAAGACAGCTTCTTTTGAGAAAAAGAAAATATGACTCTGTCATATTTCATAATGCAAATATTACTTTTGGCATTGCAGTTTTTTAGTCATTACCCCTGCAGGCAAACTTTATATTGAAAAAAATAATTCCTTACCCTCTCTTCATACTTGTACTTGTTCACTAATCTCATATATTATGATTTTTTGAGAATGACTTAATATAATTTCTCTCTGCTGTAATCTTTTTTAGTGTAGTATGTATTAGATCTCAAACAGAGGGTATCTTTTTGATAAACAAAGTTCAACATAGATCCAGATAACAAGTTCCTGAAGAGAAACCTGTAATGGGAAATTGAAACCTATATGAGCTTTCCCTTCTATAGTTTCTAGAATCTGTCCATCAGTGAGACAAGGTTTTGTTCTACCAAGGAAGAAGCAGGGAATTAACCACTACTCCTGGAGATGAAAGGGGTTTTGAATGGGATGCTTCATCCTGCTGTTCTTGTGTTAGCCATCTCCTCAAGGTCTAACATACTAACCTATGAATACTTGCTAAATAGAAAGATGGATTTAAGCTTAAGTGTTTGTTGAATCAAACCTAACTCCACACTAAAAATCCTGGAAAAGAAAGGCAAAGGTAGGAAATGGACAAAATACTTGAAGATACATGGCAATTATCAGTTCTGCTCTCTGCATATGCCTCCAACTGGTATATTTCTGCAGAAAAAGGGGAAGTGATGATCAGACTGATAAATCTACAAACAGTTGTATATTATGTTATTGCTTACAATGACAGAGGTAAGATCTGGTGACCCAGGAGGTTCCTTTGGTCCAGGAAAAGAATGTATATTGTCAGTCAAACCTACCAGATCTACCATGTTTGTTATTTACATAGTTTAGGATGAAAGAAGGTAACTCTGCTCCATCGTCCTTCGTGTTACACTATGTTCTTTCCTTCTAGCATATCATTTACAAGTTACCTGAAACGTGCTCTCACTTAATGACCTCTTTCAGGGTTCTAGTTACGGTTTCCATTTCATTTCTAAATGAGATTTGACAGCCTTAATAGCTTAGAGTCACTGCAATGCTTCAGAAATGTTATGTTCCGGTTACTTCCCTATAAATAGAGGTGCTTTTATAAAGACTTTCAATGGCTATCTTAATATGTTGGTAACACAAATGATAGAAAGCCAAAGGATCAGGTAATTGATTAGATTAGAACAGTGACATACATGCTGTGCTAGCAGTCTGCAGCAAGTGGGCTGGTTACATGTTTCTGACATCATGTTTTCATCACCAAACATATATTAAAAGCTGTTATTACTTTTCTATATAACTATCAAAGAGATGCTGTTTTATTACCTGGGAAAGGAGACATGGTTTACACAGTCAGAAATGAGACACAGCAGTTGATGAGCAATTATGTTAAAAGATGTTTTATACCAGTGATGCTCAACCTCTTCAGTCCCGCAGGCCGGGTAAGTGGTGTGGGACCAGTCTGCAGGCTGGATCCAGCATGGAGTTGATGAATGGGGTTGTTCTATGGGTGCAGTCTGGTGTGCGAAATGTGATTTCCAGGCACCAGATTCAGCTGCAGAGCAACCGTGTGTTGGCATATGGGGCTGTATCTTCTGGGCCACAGGGTTCTCCATGGGCCTGGAGATTTCGTGGTGGGGGAGTGGTGGCAGTGTTTATCACCATAACTCTGGGATCAATAAATGTGCCAAAATTCAGGCTGCAGGCCAGAGGTTGAGCACCACCTATTTACACAGCAGAGAACTTTGAGACTTCCTGAGTTAGTGAATAAAACAAAAAAGACATATACTAATTGATAATTACTAATAAAAGGTCTAGTAAACCACCCTAAAAAATACTGGACTGTGATTGCCTCCATGTAAATGCTTAAATGAGATCAGATTATTCAAATACCACAGCATCCTCATCTGGGGCCAGATTTTCAGAAGAGCTCAGCTGCCTCCTAGAGTAGAAGGGAGCAACCTACAGTGCCACTGGATCCATCTCAGAGCTGGGATGTGGGTATGGAGCTTTGCCCATATGGAGCTGTAGCTGGGTGATAGAGAAAAGGGATGGTGACTGCATCCTAGTGGCAGTCTGCTTCAGATCTGAGAAAACACTGCTGCTGAGAAAATGCTACCAATCTCTGATCTAGGGACCAAATTAAATGAGGAGAACTTTTAAAAGCATGTTAGGTTCAGTATCCATCCTAGGTGATTTGCAAGTGAAGCATTTACTTGACATCTATTATATACTTCCAGAACATTAAAAAGGCAGTATCCCTGTTCAGTGACATCAGGAGTGTCTACACATGCATTAAATCCGGGAGCAATATACTCACGAGTAAATGTTCCTGGGCAGGCATCTACATGTGTAAAGAAGTGGGAGCAGATTTGCTGCTAATGGCAGCAAACTGCTGTCACTTCCTGAGACCCTGCAATGGGCTCCTGCTGCTGCCAAGGAGAGCTCTAGGCTCCCTCTGGGTGCTAATCCAGGGGCTGGCAGAGAGCTGCAGGCAGCCCCCTGGGGGCAAGGAGCAATGTCCCACTAACTCGGCAGCAAGGAGCTCCAACCTCAGCTCCCTGATTGAGGCAAGGGACTTGGAAAGAGTTGGTGTAGGGGACTTGGATTCTCTGCCCAGCTGGGGGCTTGTTTCTAGCTGCCCCAGCAGCAAATTGGGGCAGGGGGCTGAGACCTGCCCCACTGCTGCAGCCCTTTCTAAGCCCCATGCTTCAATCTCTCAGTTGGGGCATGGGGCTGCGACCTGTCCCTGACCAAGTTCCCAGCCCTAACTCCGTGATTGCAGGGCAGGCGCTGGAGAGCCTATTCCCTGCTCAGCTCCATGATTGTGGAGCTGGGTGGGGAACAGGCTTCCCAGCCTCTGCCAGCAGGGAGCTCCCAGCACCAGCTCTGCAGTTGCAGGGCTGGCATTGGGAGATCTTTATCTCCCAGGCCCAGCTCTGTGACAGTGAGGCCAGTGCTGGGAAATCCTTATAAGGGTGATTGATATTGAGGAGACCTTTCTAAAGCACATTAGGTGCAGTATCCATCCCAGGTGATCTGCAAGTGAAATATTTACATCTATTATACTTCTAGAACACTGAAAAGGCAACATCCCAGTTGAAAAGGCATTTGAAAAGGCAACAAATCCCCTTATGAGGATCTGCCAGCACCAGCCCTGTGACTGTGAGGTGGTGCTAGGAGATAAGGATCTGCCAGCACCATCCCCACAACCTTGCAGCCAGTGATGGGAGCTCCCTGCTGGTAGGGGCTGGGGATCCTGTCCCCCACTTAGCTCCATGATCATTATAAGGATCTCCTAGCACCAGCCCTGTGACCACGGAGCTGGCACTGGGAGATAAGACTTTCCCAGTGCTGGCCCCAGGACTGTGGAGCTGGCATGGGGAGATAAGGATCTCCCAGTGTTGACCCCAGAACCATGGAGACAACACTGGGAGCTCCCTGCTAGTGGGGGCTAGGGAGCCTGTTCCTCACTCAGTTCCATGATTGTTATAAGGATCTCCCAGCCCATCACCTGCTCCCAGATTGCAATGGTGAAGCGGGGACCGGGAGATAAGGCTGGGAGATAAACTTCCTGCTGCTGGGGCAAGGGGACATAGTTCCTCTGGTGGCAGAGCCCACCCTGGCAGCAGGCAGTTCGCAGGGGCAGGGAGCGTTCTCCCACCCCCTAGTGGCTGGCTGACCAGGAGTAGATTTGCTTGCAGTCAGGTGTCTACACGAGTGCTACTGAACAGTTAGTAATAGCAAGTAAATTTGCTATTTGCATTTGCAGGTAGCAAATTTACTTGCAATTAGTGAGGTTTACTGTGCAGTAAGCATATGTACATACTTATTATGCAGTAAACCATGCTACTTCGCAGTACAGCATCTTGTGTAGATGCACCCATCCTGTAGGTTTTTTGGGGAGAAACTTTTAGCCATGGTTCCCTTGTGAAGATTTCTTCTTACAGTTGCATCAAGGGTGGTGGGTTCTTCTCCCCCTAAAGAAAAGACACTGAAACCTGTAGAGGACCCTATTCTTCTATTCCAGTCCTTTCTTTCAGAAAGCCTGCCTCCTCGGCCCCAAGGTATGCATGTGCTTTTCTTAGTAGGGATAAACCACACCTTTGCAGAAGTATTTGAAGGAAACTTGGCATTGAAATGTAGAGTTCTCTCTTCTCTACACAGCTTATTCTTGGATGGAAGTTGAACTGGACTAGAAGACCACTGGCCTTTCAGGGCCATAGGATTGTGTTCTTATAAAACTCACTAAGATTGTGGCTGTCTTGCATTTTTATTCTATATTCCTGTTGAATACAAAAATGAATAGGAATAATTTTCATAGTTTATCCCTGGTGAAAGGGCAGTGGCATCACATTAGTGGCCACTCCCTCTTTCACTGATTGGCAGAGAGGGCTGCCAATCAGCAGCAAGGGGTGGGGTCACCTGAAGGGCAGCCCTCCAGCCATTTAGTGGTGAGGGGCATGTGAGGCAGTCATGGGGGGGGATGACTCACTGCAAAAAGACTGAAAATGGCACCAGGCGCTAGCAGCAATCCATGATTTTGACTTTCCCTGCACATGTTTCAAGTGTGAGGCTTTTACCATTCATCCTTCATCTGGCAGACCTTGGATTTGCCAATTTTCAAAAGGCGTTTATAATAGAAGATATAGAGGAATAATTAAATGAACTAGGGTAGCCAGTTGTGAAGTATTAGTAGTTCTACTGATATAGGTGTGCAACCCCTATAAGTAGTAGGACCACAACTACAAAATAGGCTATTTATTTTATTCCTTAGCCATTGCAAAGCAGTTTTGGTCATTTATGCTATTAATTTAGAACTCCTTATTTTTGTTCATAATTATTGATATTTATCAAATTTCTTAGAACTTGATAAAGTGATTTTAGTAAATCTCAATAGGAGAAAAACTGTAGATGAAATATATTACCGTGCATGTAACAGACAATAACAGAGCATCTTACATCGCTGACGTATTTCATTTTTCATTTGAAGGATGGAGTGGTGCTGGTTCACTGTAATGCAGGAGTCTCTCGTGCTGCAGCAATTGTCATTGGTTTTCTAATGAATTCAGAAGGACTTGGTTTTGCCAGAGCCTTTACTCTGGTGAAAAATGCAAGGCCTGCCATTTGTCCAAATCCTGGCTTCATGGAGCAGCTTCACAAGTACCAAGAGTACAATAAAAAGGCAAATGCAAGCATAAATGATCATGAATGATAAAAAGAGAGAAACTAAACAGTCTGTGTGCTTGTATTGTAACAGATGTGTCGATGTACTTTATGTCGTTTCTCAGACTCCTCTCACACGTATATTTTAAATATATTTTCTACATATTTAATTCTTCACTTTTTTATCTAAATATGTTACATTACTTGGTCCAGACTTCAAGCAGGGAAGAGGCCAAACTTTATTCCATTGACTTCAGCGCTTAATTGGCCCAAGGACATGTTTTTCCCCTAGAGTGGTGATAAAAGATCAAGTTCTAGCTTGTTTGAAATATCAGACAGAAGAGAATGACAGGTTTTCATTGAACTGTCTGAGGATACAAGCAATAGAAAAGGGAAATAAAATGCTGCCTCAGATAATAAAGTTACTGCATTTACTTTAATACTGAGTCCAATCTTTATCCATTCTAGTTGGCTGTAAAACCTAGATAATAAACTATTCTTATAATAAAGTGCCTCACTGTTTGGTCTTAATTCGAACATACAAAGGCAGGTTTTTAAAGGAATCCTATGGGTAGGCAGCCACTAAATATTTTTTAAGATTTAAACCAGGTGGCCTTTTGATGAAGAAGAAGATGTAAAATGTTTTAATGCCCTATTGAAACTTTTTTCTACACTGTCCTATTATGGGGTGACTTTAAGTAGAATGATATTGCACTTTGAAATGACAGGTAACCAACCTCAAAGTGAGATATTTAAGGAGGGGAAAATGCCAAGATATCAAAGAGAAGATTGTTTTATTTAGAATAAAAAGTATTGTCTGGATCAGGTTTTATTATTCAATGTTTTTCACACACAGATATACTATAAAAATGATACAAGACTGTAGGACAGTTATAAATGTGTGGTAAAATGAAGGACTAATGAGAGGCTTGCTTATAAGAATTTATAGAGTATGCTCTCCTTTGGGCACCATTAACTTGAATTGCAGTAATTCCTAAACTGAGTTAATGTATTCAGTCTAGTTCCTTGTAGATTGATGTTAATACTAAGTATTCAGAAACTTTATTACCATAGAGTTAAAGCTGTCCAATGTTCTTATGCCCTTGCAGAACATGTGAATTAAACTTGATCTTCTGAAAATCAAAATCAGTTAACGTAACTAAAACTTACATCTATAAACTGGGAAATAAATGGGAGGCATCACCTCCTTTTCCTAACCCCAGTTCCCATTTATCCTGCCAACCACCCTGGGCTTTATTCTCAAGACTATTATCCCTCATCTTAATTCCCGTCAGTCTGAGCTTTCCCAATCCTTTTTCTGTCCTCTTAATACCAACTGCTATTACTCATCTCCACTTATCTCAATGATGTTAATCCCTTCTTTCCAAACTTTCCTCCCCACCTATTTTTCTCACTCCTCTGGACTCTAATCCTCTCTCCCTTTTCTTAGTCATCCCAACACTCGCATTTAGCATTCCACCAGAACCCCCCTGCATTTTCCTTCATTACTTCAATCCTTATTCTGTACATTTTCATGACAAACTATAACAGTCTGAAAGTAATATAAAGTAGCTTATGTTGGGGGTCAGGTGTTGGGAGTGTATTAATCACCCCTTGACCCAACGACTCATTTTCCTGGGCTACAAACACAGCTATTCTTCCAGAAACATAATTACCTTTGTCTAACTGCTTACCAAATTACTATTTCTTCCCTGTATTTGATCAAGGCTTATTACCTTCACAATATTTCTGAAATAAAACTGTAATTTTCAAACATTTTAAAGTAATGCACCTAAGCAAGAAACTTTTTTTCTCAGGGAAAACTCTCAGTACCTGGACCAAAGATTACAGCATATTATTTTTGATCCAACCAGTTGCTAACACTAGATTGTTGGCCTCAACAGTCCTGGTCTTGTTGCTGAGGTACATTCCATTCTCTTTTTTTTTTTTTTGCATATCAGTTTAATAGTGCTGACCTACCATTGCAAACTTCATCTTTACTAAATTCTTCAATTAGGCAATGGAAGCAGTGTGCTAGGTAGCTGAGATAAACTAAGCAGCAGAGATTAGTTAGAGGATGAATACAGATTATAATTTGAGCTACAGGTCCATGCAAAATAAGTTAGAGGAACCGGGTAATTTTTTAAAATGCTGTTTTCAAGGGCTTGTATCTTAGGGGGCGTGTCTACATGAGACAATGCGCAGAAGACTAATTCTACTGTAAAACCCATGCTAATATGTAGTAGATTTAGTTTACTGTGCATTAATGTCACTAAAAAAAGTGTTCATCAATGCTAATGTGCAATAGCACCGATTACAGTACAGTAAGTTAGTACCTCTTATTACAGGTTTTAAACTAATACGCTATAATTATTGCACATTAATGAATGTGTAGACATGCCCAGGAACTCTTTTGAAATGGCCTAAAGCAGCAGTTCCCAATCTGTGGTACATGTACCACAAGTGGCATGCCTACAACCTGTCAGTGGTATGCGTTAACAGATTTATTATAATTACTTTACAGGACAAAAATTTGCTGGTGGTACTTAAGGTTGTATTGTTTTAAATTGGTGGTATGCAATGTGTCAGAGTTTGGGAACTGCTGAAGCTTACATGGCATTTTCATAAAAAACAAATTATTCCTATTTTTTGTAGCTTCCTTGAATTAAAATTTCCTTCCAGGGTGAATATACTGACTGATTTTAGCTGGGGAAGAAAACTCCACCCTGCTGTACAAGAGTGGTTCAAGTGTTGTGTGTTATTTGAATACTCTCCTGCAGTCTTATGGAAGTTCCAGGTGAAAAGTTTTTTGTCTGTTTGTTTTTTAGTATCACTGCAATAGAACGTTTAGTTTCAAAGGGTGGGTGACCAATAGAGGATTTGCTTTTACTGTATAATTGCTAGTTTTATATAATTATAATGTAAATTTTAAAGCATTTGTACTGAGCACTGTTTTTATGCAGTTACATTGCAGTGTTATTGCAGCAATGGTGATCTACAGACTATCCAAGAAACAGGATTTGTTTGGTTATATCATTTATTGGACTAATTATATATTTTGGTAGATATCTTTTTATCGGACTAACTATATCAAACTATTAAAATATAGTTGGTTCAATAACAGATTTGAACAAATCCCACTTTTTCCAGTTCTATGCACATCCACAACCTGTAAGTCACTATAGTGCCACTATAGCTGACACGCTGGATGTCTAGCTGCAGAATGACTTTTTTCCTTCAGGGAGTATGTGGTGAAAATTGCTTTCATCTTGGTCCTGTGGAAATTTTCAAAGAATGCCCATCAACTTCAGGGACTTTCTTTAGTCTTCATGTATAACCTTGCTGCTTTTGTACCTATTACCCGTTCATGCCTTGATTCTTTTATGCAGCTATCAATACTAGTAGTACTTGTTTTAAAAATTAGAAAACATCTGTACAAGAGAGAAAAACTACAAGTTAAGGAAGGTTACAGTTGAAGACAAGCCTGAACCAAAATTTGGGGTCCTACCAGCCAGAAACTTTAAAATGTTGGAATTCAGAATCTGGAGTTGGTTATTATAATTTTTTACTTGAGCCAATCTCTAGTTGCAGTCACCCGAGGAAAATGGCAATCAACCTAAATAAACACTGTGAGTATAGCAGATGCAAATATACCAGTATACAGTTAGGGTAAAATAGTGTGTTGTGCCCCTTAGAATTGAAGTCTGCCCCAGGAGTGGATGTATCTATTTGAATGAAGTGGAACATTTTACCCCTTGCTAATGAACCTATTATTTTGAAACTCAAATGCTGAACAAAGCTAGCACTATCATAAGATGCTATAAATTATTCTTTACCTGCTGTGACATTCTGGATGAGTTAGGGGATAATGACACACAATTTACATTTGATGTATTTTGACAATTCTCTTTGCAGCAGCAGCTCAAATATAGCATGTCAAGCCTCTTGTATGCACCACCACGTGAGTTTGCAGAAAAGTCAGCTCAAACTCTGTAACGCACATGAAAATATATATTGGCTATTAGAGTTCAAGATTTATGTTTGGAGGGTTAGAAACTTCAGCCAAAATTCTGTTCCAAAGTTAATAAATGAGACTGCCAATATGTGTAAATCATAACTCAGCTGAAATCACTGTAGCAATGACATTTTATGCCAGCTACTCATCTGGCTCAATGAGTCCAGAAGGAGTCACAAATAATTTTTCATCTTTGAATGAGGGAAGAGAATGACAGATCTCTATCAAGAAATGTATCTCAGCTTAATGAAGTAAGAAGTAAATCAAATGAACTAATAACACCTGTACAAATGTAATTATGGCTGACCAGACCATTGCTTCATGGACTAGAAAAATGAGGTAAACATGGAACAAATGACAGCTCCAGAGAACAAAGGAGACATCTGGCCTATTATTTGGTTATGTAAAGCACGTAAAAAGCATTTCTAGCATTCAGAGTTCCGACTGAAATTTCAATTTGCTTCAAAAGTTTGATAAGCAAAAATATACAACATAATTTACCAAAACAATGTCTTTATTTTCAAATTTGCATTAACATAAAATCATAAATCCAGCAAATACACGTTTCTGAGATAAATATGCATACTGTCATGTCTATAGCTTCCTACTATCCCCTATTTGATGCTGCTGGTCATCACTTTCCCTTTTCCATATAGAAGACAGTCACTGAAACTTTCCATTCTAGATGGAAAGGTCAACTTTTCATTCTAGATGTAAGGTCAACTTCAGAAATGCCTCTCCTTTATGCTTCTCTTTGGTGAGTGAATTTGCTCATTTCATATTTCTGGTTCTTGTCAGCGGCAACGTTACCTTGCTAACGTAGTACCCTAATGTTTCTTCCAAGCTTAGTAACTGCTCAAAGAAACAAACCTTTGCCATAGTCCAATTGTCTAACTCCATAGATTAACAAAGTGCATGAACTTACCTTTTCTGTATTTAAAATTTAAAAATGTGAAGAAAGCTCTCCTTATGTGTTCTAACACACATCCCACTACAGGTTTCCCTTCCTTTATGCTGTACATGTGTTCCTGGAAAATGGCACATAACTTGAATTTGCATAAGGGGAACCAACTTTACAATGTAAAGACCTTGACTGTACTGACCCCAGACACATTTCTACCACTTTTCCAAGGCAATTTTGGTACTTACCAGCAGCAGACAGTACACACAAGCACAGGGTATTATCATAATGGGAACGGCACCTACAGAAACACATTGCAGACAACAAGTGAGGAGCACAGATACACACAGGAGACTATATTTTGGTGCGCATCACTCCCACAATGCACTGCACAAAGCAGCTGCCTGTGGGATTCCACCACAAGGATCACCTAAGAGTGAATTCACCTCACATATAATGATTTTTTGGTATAAAAAAGGTTATCGAATAAGAGCGACTTCTCACATACAGAACCCGCATAAAGCAAGGGAAACCTATTACCTAACATGATATAAAAAATGTGATCCATGCTGCTACTGAGTTTTTTCCATTCAGTCAAGAATCTGAGAAGGTTGGTGTCACACGTTCAACCTACTAAGTGCACTTAAAATGGGAGCAGACACACACTCAAGCAGTTTAGCATGTGGTAAGTGCTCTCATGCAGTTGCCAGATTATTCTCTTTCAGGTCAGTCTATCTCCTAACAGGCACTATCTTTAATAGGTCACTACATTCCAAGAATCTGTAACTGTTCCAAGTAAACATATGATACCACATCCAAAGGGTTAGGGTGAAGTTACTTGTCACACTTAGAGCATACTAAGTGCACTTAATACTTGAGGGTCCACATGTTAAAGCTCAGTAGCTTGTGCTAAGTGCCCTCTGAGGGCATCTATACAGTGCAGCGAAGCTGCTCTGACACGCTGGAATTACAACACACTGGAGCAGACTTGATTATTGGAGCACCCCTGGGGGGCTCCAGTACAACTGCCCCACCCTCCAGCAAGGGCTGAAACCCCCCCAGACTGGCCCCCCTGCTGCCTTCCCAGTCTGAAAGCACTGGGAGGCAGTGCAGTGTGGTGCGGTGCAGACAGAAGTTACATCAGACGCTGTTTTGAAACTTCATCTGACCCCTAACACACCACTTTTGAAGCTTTCTGCAGCCCTGAACTTATGTTTGGTCATAGCAATAAGCCACTTTCTATGGCAAGATAGGGTAAAAATTGTTGCTTCTGCACCCTAAATGTCAATTGCTCACAGCAATGACTTTTAACACCCGCTAAGGTACCAGATGTAGTGCAAGTTAAGCCTAAAATAACCACCCTCAGCAGTAGCGGGAGAGGACACACACGTTCCCAGAGGCAAGCTTTTGAAGGAATCACAACGGCTGTGGGCAATGTTTTCTTCTTTCAACACCGGGCCTGGGTCGCTCCCGAAGGGGACTGACACGTCTCCAGCCACCAAGTAGTCAGAAGAGCGGCCCCCGCCGCCCAGCACCGCACCGCACCACACCGGGCGGCGAAGCCACCAGCCCGAGGCCCCCGGTGGGCTGCCGAGAACGGGACGGCCGGTGGGGCGGGAGATGCGCGCGCAACCCCGGGCACCAGGCGGCACCTCAGCTGATCTGGGCCCGTGTGACGTCCAAGGGGCACGGTTGGCGCAGCAGTCAGTGGTGACCGCTGCCGCCCGCCGCGAGAGGCCCTGGCAGCAGCCCTGGGGAGACCGCACGGGTAGCGATCCGGACGGCCTGGGCAGTAACGCAGTGACACGTGACCCCCGCCCCACCTTCCTGGCACACAATGTGGCTGCCGAGCGGCGGTTCCCGGAAGTGACGCACTCCCAAGGAGCCTTGCGGCGGCAGGAATTTCCGCTCTGTTTGAAAGTGCCGCGTCCCGCCGCTGCGGGCCCGCGCCGCTATGGCCGCCTTCGCTATGGAGCCTCCGGCAGCAGGTGAGCGGGGCGGCGCGTGTCGCGCGTGCGCCGCAGGAACCGGGCCGGG